TGTTTAAAACTGTACAATGTGTAAAAATATACTTGCTTATATGCAATTCTTGAATTTCCAATATGATGGATAGTCTGATCCCCCTGATTTGTTTTGTGCAAGCCACAAACTTGTGACGCCATTTTGTTTTACAATTTTTTTTTATTTTTTTTTACTCAAACTCACCGGTGTGAGAAAACAATCATGATACACATCTCCAAAAATAATATAATTCCTAAGAGTCTCTAAATCAAAGTGACTCTAAACCTGGTTTTAACACACAGTCCATAATAAATAAAATAACATAACAAATGATGGTAGTAAATCTGAAAACTATGCTTGGAATGTACATAAATTGAAATTAGTAATAGACCCAACCATTATATATTTCCTCAAAATGCCTTATAAAGTTAAAAAAGGAAAAAGGAAAGAAGGGTACTCAATTTATTGAAAAATTCAAGGCACTATATAACTGAAATAACGGTTAGATCAAAAAAGATTTACTGATCATCTAAATGTGTAGATAAACTGCCAAATCTATTCGGATGTTACTGATCTGTATATAGCAAGGGATGTCTAATCCCTAACAGAAAATGAATTCAATGCTTGGATCAACAGATGTAAACATTTAGAAGTAATACATTTTGAAGCAGTGAATTAAACATATGTATACGTCATATCGGCATAGACATAGGTAAAAAAAAATAAAAAATCAGGCGTAATATGAAATACAATTGTGTTGGTTCCAGTAAACTGAGCGTTTTAAAGGTGTGTAAGAAACTAGGATGCTGTAATTGGGACTTACCCAATAGTGGTCCTTAAACAGTGGTTCTTTGGGGCAGGCAGAACAATATTCAAGTGGTACCTACTGAGAGATACAAGCTTGCAGCTTAAAGGTATAGTGGCCAGCTAGTAAAAGTGGAGCAGTGATGCTATTTTGTGACTGTTTGCAATGTACATAGTCATCTTTGTTTTGTGTGTACATTTATTATACACAGAGCAGTATGTGTCAGTAAATGCAGCTGTGGGTCAAGAGAGGGAGGGACAGCAGCACAAAGTATAGTCAGGTGTGAAATGTATTTTGTACTGTAAGTGGCGACTTGCTGTGGGAGCCAGTAGGTCTATACTTGTAATTGCAGTTTATCTACTACAGCAAACGACTGTGTTAATGTAATCAGAGACTGCAATGAAGGGACGGTGGGTTCACATATGTACCTGGACAGGGCCGGCGCTACCTGTTAGGCGAACTAGGCAGCCGCCTAGGGCACCCCTTGGGAAGGGGTGCCGCCAGGAGCGCCGCCCCCCCTCTTGCTGCAGCCGCCCGAGCGCTCTGTAGAGAGCCTCAGGTGGCTGCAGCTTTGCCCGGGCTGGTGCGTCCATGAGGGAACACCGCACCGCCCGGGCGCAGCATGAGGAGAGGGGCCTCCCTCACTGTAGCGTGTCCGAGCTCTGTATGGTCCGCGGGTACAGGGAGCATCTGTCTCCAAAAATCCTTGCACCGGCCCTGTACCTGGACTATCAAGGGCCATAATGACATATTGTCAGGGTGTACTTGCACAGAGGGAGAGGAACTAGTGTTCTGAGTCACTTTGTAACCAGTTCTTTCCTTTATGTTGAATTTGCCCGGTTGTGTATACCCATTGGTGAAACTGTTTATGCAATGTTTATTTATTTTTTTACTGTATGCTGTGGTGTATGTAAGAGTTCTTTTGAGTTGTCAAGAAGAAGCTTGTACCTTGAGGTCTCACAGGTATATTGCTATTTGTAACGGATCAACTGGCACCCTGACTGGGCACCTCTGCCAACAGATGCTTCCTAGCTGATGCTGAGGACCGTAAGCATCGCACAGAACACCACAGGCACCGCAGACTCCACAACTGCCGTAGCTTAGCTGGGATCTCGCCATCTTCCTCCCACTCTGGACCAACCTTGGATATCCAGGACTGTGTGGGAAAGACCTCTCCTACTTCACAGAGCGTAGCAGTAAGAGGTCTTACAAGAGCTAGTGATTAGAACCCAGGGGCGTATAAGGAGTATAGTAATCCCCAGTGTGAATATAGCAGTTCCCCTCCAATCACGAGACCAAGCTACGTGTTGAGTGTTTTTAATAAAGTCCCATAAGTACCCCAAAACACAACATATCCCCATAAATGTTACATACCCTGATAGCCCTGTTCTGGGTGAACATATCCAAAAATTACCCAGATCAGATCAGGGGTTCAGAAATTTTATGGAAGTCATAGTTTTGCCCAGGCGCAGGCATGGTCCCATGCCCAAAACAGTTCCATAGAATCGCTGCTAAGTGCTGCTGGAGGACCGATCAGGAACCGCAAGGTTTTCATGCCGAAAATAGTTCCAGGGCATTCGTGGGTCCTCCTGAAGTCTCTTCACGGTTTTGGTCGATGCGAACAAGATGGCCAAGAAGATGGCACTTCAAATGGCTTTGGGAGTTCGGGAGTTCGAAATGCCGCTTCGAAAGTTCAAATAATTATTGTCCAAAGTCATAATAAGTACAAATAGTTTTTTTTGGTTTTTTTTTTAACCATAATAAAGTAAAGGGGCCCTAGTCACAGGGTAAACGGTTGGCAAGTAGTCCCCTCCAAACCCAAGTGGCGAAGTGGCTTTCGCCACACATCTTCCCTTCCAAGGGTAGACTAACCAGGTACCTGACCTCCTGTCGGTCGGTACCTGAGTTGGTCGAGTAGCCCACCCACAACAAGCAATTGCTGGACCTGGTGACTCCTGTAGTCTGTCTCTGTCCAAAAGCCAGCGTTACAGCTGCGTAGTGGGGGAAATGATAGTTCCTGGATGAAGGACCAGAGGAGGAAAGAGGCAAAATGCTCTCTGCCCAGTTGCCAGTGCTTCTGCTGGGGTGGCCTGCAGGTAGTCAGGCCTTGGACAAAGAGAAAGGGGGGCAAAGGCCAGCAGTGCTCTGCCCTGATATCAGCTCTTCTGCTGGAAGGGGGTCCCATCCACTAACCCCAGGACCCAGCTGGGAATTGGCTGTGGAGGGGAGAAATCGCTTACATCCTCATCCTGGTATCCCTGCAAGGTTAGTTGGGGATCTGGACCAGTCGTCCAGCATCCCTGTAGATCCAGTACAGAGACCGCGGTTCCATCTGTATTATTGGGGTCAGGGTTGCTGTCCCCCTGTAGCTGGGGAGAAAGACCGACTGCCCGCACTCCTGGTAGCTCGCTCTGCTGCTGTGAAGGAAGGACGACACCTTCTGCTTCCTGTACGGCACCCTGTTGCTGAGGAGTGAAACCGACTGTCTCGACTCCCAGTGGGATACACTGCCGCTGGGGAGAGAAACCGATTGTCTCATCTCCCTGAAACTCACTCTGCCGCTGGGGAGGAAGGACAACACCTTTTGCTCCCTGTACTGCACACTGCTGCGGGGGAGGAAGACCAATTGTCTCCACTCCCTGTAGGATACGCTACCGCTGGGGAGAAAGGCCGGTTGACTCCTCTCCCTGCAATTTACACTGCCACTGGGGAGTGAGACCGACCGTCTCCACTCCCTGTAACTCCGGCTGTAGCTGGGGATTTGGGCTAGCTGCCCAGTATCCCTGTAGGGCCGGTGGAGAGACCTCGGTCCCATCTCCACCTGCCATCTGGGGGTCTTCCCATGACCAGTCTATGATATCTGTTGAGCTGAAGGACTCTACAGGGAGTGCAGAATTATTAGGCAAGTTGTATTTTTGAGGATTAATTTTATTATTGAACAACAACCATGTTCTCAATGAACCCAAAAAACTCATTAATATCAAAGCTGAATATTTTTGGAAGTAGTTTTTAGTTTGTTTTAGTTATAGCTATGTTAGGGGGATATCTGTGTGTGCAGGTGACTATTACTGTGCATAATTATTAGGCAACTTAACAAAAAACAAATATATACCCATTTCAATTATTTATTATTACCAGTGAAACCAATATAACATCTCAACATTCACAAATATACATTTCTGACATTCAAAAACAAAACAAAAACAAATCAGTGACCCATATAGCCACCTTTCTTTGCAAGGACACTCAAAAGCCTGCCATCCATGGATTCTGTCAGTGTTTTGATCTGTTCACCATCAACATTGCGTGCAGCAGCAACCACAGCCTCCCAGACACTGTTCAGAGAGGTGTACTGTTTTCCCTCCTTGTAAATCTCACATTTGATGATGGACCACAGGTTCTCAATGGGGTTCAGATCAGGTGAACAAGGAGGCCATGTCATTAGATTTTCTTCTTTTATACCCTTTCTTGCCAGCCACGCTGTGGAGTACTTGGACGCGTGTGATGGAGCATTGTCCTGCATGAAAATCATGTTTTTCTTGAAGGATGCAGACTTCTTTCTGTACCACTGCTTGAAGAAGGTGTCTTCCAGGAACTGGCAGTAGGACTGGGAGTTGAGCTCATCTTTGATGATACCAGCCCAAACCAGTACTCCACCTCCACCTTGCTGGCGTCTGAGTCGGACTGGAGCTCTCTGCCCTTTACCAATCCAGCCACGGGCCCATCCATCTGGCCCATCAAGACTCACTCTCATTTCATCAGTCCATAAAACCTTAGAAAATCAGTCTTGAGATATTTCTTGGCCCAGTCTTGACGTTTCAGCTTGTGTG